GGGCTGAGGGTGCTCCAGGTGACACCCAGAGGGGTCTGATGGGGCTGGGGGTGACACCCAGAGGGGTCTGGCAGGGCTGGGGGTGCTCCAGGTGACACCCAGAGGGGGCTGAGGGGGCTGAGGGTGACACCCAAAGGGGTCTGGCAGGGCTGGGGGTGCTCCAGGTGACACCCCGAGGGGTCTGGCAGGGCTGGGGGTGCTGCAGGTGACGCCCAGAGGGGTCTGATGGGGCTGGGGGTGACGCCCAGAGGGGTCTGGCAGGGCTGAAGGTGCTCCAGGTGACACCCAGAGGGGTCTGGCAGGGCAGTTGACACCCAGAGGGGACTGGCAGCTCCAGGAGCTGGACAACCAGGTCTGGCCTTGGATGTCCCTGGAGAAATGAGGCGAATCCCTGGTGCCGGCCCGTTCCTGGTGGCCCTGAGCTGGCATCCCATCCTTTTTCCCAGTTCCACTGCGCCTACCAGCTCGCCGACTGGTGCCTGCACCACATCTGCACCAACTACAACAACGTCTGCCGCAAGTTCCCCCGCGACATGAAGGCCATGTCGGGAGGTGAGTGGCAGCCGGGGGGCTGTGGCAGGGGGGTCCCCGCGGTCCTGGCACCCCCCTCACCCCCTTTTGTGCCCGCAGAGAACCAGGAGTACTTCGAGAAGCACCGCTGGCCGCCGGTGTGGTACCTGAAGGAGGAGGATCACTACCAGCGGGCGAAGAAGGAGCGGGAGAAGGAAGACTACCTCCACCTGAAACGGCAGCCCAAGAGGCGCTGGCTCTTCTGGAACGCCTCCTCCTCCCCTTCTTCCTCTCCTTCATCGTCGGCAGCCACAGCCTCCTCTTCCTCCTCCTCCTCCTCCTCCTCGGCTGTGGTTTGAAAGCCCCGTCCTTGCCCTGGCTCCAGCGTCCCGGCGAGGAGGAGGATGAGGATGAGGATGAGGAGGAGGAGGAAGGGTGGATGCCCTGCCCAGCGCCAGGCTGGGGGGGCACCGGCCCCGCAGCAGAGGCGGGGGCCGCGGTCGCCCGGGAGGGGCTCGGCAGGACTGGCAGAGCCCCGAGCAGCAGGAGAAACTCTCGCCTTCCCAGGGGCACGAGGGCTGTGCTGCGGCTGCACCGCGGGGTTTCCGTTGGAAATTGGTTTTGGTTTTTCGGAACGTCGTCAGCACGAGGAGGAAGGCGATGGCGAAGAAGAAGAAAAAACGCGTCCTGCTTCCAACTTTGATTTGGAACCAGAAGCTCTTAGGGTGTGGTTTGGGTGTCTGATGGCATCTCACCACCTGGAGCCACTGTGGGGGTCCTGCCACCCCCTTGGACTCACAGCAGGGTCAGGCACAGGGCAGGGGACCCTGGTCCCCAAATGCCTCCAGGCACTGCAGGATTTCCCCTACAAGTGGGGTCTGTCCTAATTCAGGGCACAGAGAGGATCGGAGTCCTCTCCTCCCTGTTCTTAACTCTTCAGTTTTGTTTAGACAGAAACTTAAAGCAAAAAAAAAAAAAAAAACCAAAACCCAAACCCAAACCCACTCCCTCAATCTGCCACACCAGAAACCAACCCCGAGCCCTTGGCTTGGGATTTTAGCCTGGAAGGCTCCATTGTAATAAATGGTATTTTAAAAGCCCGGCGTGCTTCCTGTGTGTGTGGGAGGAGCAGCTGGGCAGGCACATCCTTGTGCCAGGCTCGGGGTGATGCCCTGACCCCCTTCCAGCGCTCCTGGGACGGGCAGGGACAGCGACCCAAACCCTGGTACAACACCAGCGGTGGCTTTTCCATCGGACTAACCCTGCCTGTCCCACCTGTGTCCCTGCAGGGCTGCCAGGCAGGGCAGGAGGCACCCAAACCTCCTCACCCTGCCCGGCTGGGATGGGGAAAGCTCCTTGGAGCCCGTCCCTGCACAGGAGCACCCAGGGATGCTCCCGGTGGCATCCCCTCCTCCCAGCTGGCCTCGTGGAGCACCTTGGAGCCTCCCGTTGTGCACGCCCACCCTCAGCCTCGGATGCAGGAGCGAGCGGTGGCTCCTCACCCTCGGTGTTGTGTCCCTTGGCAGCCCCAGCGAGCAGGTAGGAGCACGACTTTCTCTCCTTTTCGCACAGTCTGGGCACTCACCGCTGCTTCCCCGAGCCCTGTTCGCCTTCCCCGAGCCAGGACCCGAGCCCTGCATGTGCCTGGCTCTGCAGGAGCCCCTGCCCAGGTCTGCGTGCTCAGGGGGCACAGGGGGATGTGCCCACCAGAGACCCCTGGGCACCAACCCTCCGGGCAGGGCAGCAGCAGCTCCTGCTTTTCACCCCAGCCCCACGCTCTTGGAGCAGCTGCCAGGGGCGTTTTTGGGGGCTGAGCAGAGCCCTTTCCTCACTAAGCACTGCATGGATTTGCAACACAGCTACTGCAAAGCAACACACAGAGCCCTGGCTGCGTGGAGCCCGAGCCCCCCGGGGCAGCGCTGCCGCTGCCACCCCCGGCACCAGGGGCAGGGGTCTGGTGTGGGGTAGATAAAGGCCAGGATGGCTGCTGAGAGCTTTTCCTGGCAGAAAGGGCCCTTGGGGGCTGGTGGGGACCATTCCTCGTGGGATGCTGGGGTGGCTGAGCATTAATTCCATGGGCTGAGT